CGACGGCGCGGCCGCCGGCGGAGGAGAGGAGGAAGCCCAGGAGGCGGCGCCGGTCGCGGCGGTACGCCTCGAGGAGCGACGCCGCCGAGTCCATGGCTGCGCTGCCGCCGCCGCCGCGCAGAGCCTCTCGAGGGTTTCGGGGGGCGCGGAGGGGGAGGAGGAGGGAGCGGGGCGAGGCGGAAAGCTGCGCGGTGCGAGTGCGAGTGCGGAGTGCACAGAGAAAGCAGCTGTGGGAGAAAAATAACGGAAGGACGGGGGGAGGGGTTTGGTCCGGCGTGGGGAACAAACGAGGCCGCACGCAATCGCGTGAGCCAGAAACCGTCAAACGGTAACGACGATGGCAGCCGCCTTGTTCGGCCCTCGGCAGTGAAGGGAGCACTGAAGACGGAAGACTAGTAGTGAGAGCGACCGGCGTACCGGGTACGGCCGTCTTTCTACTTTTGAATAGTATTTCTTGCAGCAGCTCCTCTCAATCTTTGGAGTTCTCTCCTGGAGCAGAACCCATATATGGCCATCGATGGAACTGCAGAATCTTACGGAACCTGTGTAGCCCTCCGTTTCTTTTTACTTCGCATATGAAATTTGAAGTCAAACTACACAAAGTTTAACCAATTTTGCATTAAAAATATCAACATATACTAAATAGTACAGTATAAAATAAATTTCATGATGCATCTAATGATATTTTTTTGTATTATGAATGTTGATATTTTTTTCTATAAAGTTAGTCAAAACTTCGGACAAGTTTTATATGTAGACTAAAAAAACGGAGGGAGTGTGATAGTTCTCCTGCTCTTGTGAGGCTTCGGCCTCCTGAATCGCCCCAGGTGTGCAGTGTTTGTCCACAAGGTAGGTGATTTGGAAGAAGATGCGGGGAGCTGATTTGAAAGTCTGAATCACCTGGCGGTTTGGGGTATATTCAATGCTGTTGGATCACAGACAAGCAGACAACCGTGGGTCCTCCCTCGATGCGAGATTCCAGAACGGCCACATTTCGAATATTTCACCTTTTTACTGAACATGAACACTCAACCAATCGAACCATTGCTTTTTCCCGATGTGATGAAATAGCACTAGTAGTAACAGCTCTCCCTTCCATGGCAACCAGCTCAGTGAAATGCTTTGCAAAATTATAAGAGGTAATATCACAGTCAGTCATAGAACTTGTATCGGATGTGCAGTTTGGTGCTAAAACTTTAAAAATACGTTTTTTTTATGATCTAACTTATGTTTAGGAGCAAATACGGTCACTCCGGCTGTTTGCGCGCACATACACCGTCGGCATGGTATGCCATGTAGGTACAGACCCGCTATCAGTGACAGATATCACTTTGGGGCGACGCGCACAATTTTTTCTTTTGCACAAAAGCCATCGAATTTATTTAATTATGAAAAATAGCCCTCAAATAAAATAAAAAAGGCTGCAGACGATGGGTTCGAACCCACGACCACCTAATAACACACCGGCGCACATGAGCTACCCAGTACACTAAGTACCTTTTTGAGCTCAAAAAGAGAAATACGAGGTTTATGTTTTTGCAATGACGACTACCAATATCCAAAAAAAATTGCTAACTAAATCTCCATTCAGAGAAAAAATTGAGCGCCCAAAATTTTGAATTTAAAGGAGAGAAACTAGTCTAACAATACATGAACGTAACTTAAATCCTCATATGGGCATACAATATGAGACCCACTTTTGGTAAAATATATTTTTTGTGTTACTCACGCTCATTTGAGAAAATTACGTTATTTAAAATATTGTTCTAGTTGCCGCAACAATGAATTCGACTCGCGACTTTTTTATAGTGTAGGAGTCGGGCTGACCACTGTACAGGAAGCACTTATAAAGTAATTAGTTAAACTAAATATATTTAGACATTAAAAAATTAAATTAAAAATTTATTTCAACATTTCAGGCAAAAAAAACCATAATTGCCGAGATATTTCGAAAACAGGATTTTGCAGCTCCTTCTAAAGAAAACTGGAATAAAAAAATCTTGGTCGTGAACAAGTTTGTGTGCGTTTTGGGTTAAACATTATACATTTTAACGTGTGCTTTATAATCGAATTTCATTTAAAAATTTCTGGCGATTTTTTTTTGGAAACCTATTTTTCTGGCCAACCCTGGGAAAATAGATTCGAGCAAAATAGTGTGTGTCCAGTGTAAAAGTAAATTTATCTCCAGGTATGCATGAAACTAGGTTTGGTGGAGTGGTTCGCTAGTGCGTTCAAGTAAATGAAGTCGCGAGTTTGAACCTACCCACCCTTTTTATTTCTCATTTCTTGCACCAATTTGTTTCAGTGACTGACAGTGGGCCATAGCTGCACTGGAATGCCACATAAGCATGGGATACAGACCGAAGTGACTGTATTTGCACGAGATGACAAGTTATGTGACCATAATTCCGTATTTTAGAAGTTTTGTAACCAAACTGAACATCAAGCACAAGTTGTATGACTCCCGGTGATATTACCTCAAATTATAAGAGCAGCGGTCAAGAACAGCAACGCTGGAGGACAACCGCAATAAGTTACCACACATGACACATCATTGAGCAAAGCATTTTACAGCCTGGAACTATCCCTAGCTTTTTTCATCAGTTGTTCACTTGCTGTAACAAATCAAGTAAGAATTTTGCAAGCCCGATTTGACACAAACAGGTATGGGGATATAGTATGAATCGCTCAAACATAATTATACAGCCCACTGGGTAACTAAGCATATAGTCCGAACTGCAGAGATACACCTCAGAACTAATTCTGTAATATGGACATCACTTTAGTCACCTTTAAGACATGACATGGTTGACACTATCAGCACATTTGGGATACAAAAATTTACACCACATTAGCGAGGACTCAGGCGTGAAGTCGGAACCGATGGCATTCTCAAGTGGGATACATTTATACTTCCTCGCTTCCGCTGCTGCTGCCGCCCTTCCGGATACTGAACTTGCACAGGGGGCATGTTGCATTGATGTGCAGCCACTTGTCAATGCAGGCACAGTGGAAATGGTGGCCACAAGGGAGTTCCCGTAGTTCTGCACCATCGTCGTAGGCTGAAATGCAAATGCAGCACTCCTGCGTTGACAAGGTGAACAATGAATGGATGAATTCTTGTAATATCTCATAAAGCGTCATTTATGCAAACGATACAGCATGGTTATATCCTGTCGAAAGTTGGAAAAAAAATACAGGTAGCACAACAACAGAAAAGTAGTGCGGAATGATGCTGTATCCTGGCGTGCAAAGGTTTTACAGAAGCATGAATGCAGAGTTCCCTATCATGAGCCATACAACAAGCAAATGGTTTGATGCTCGTAGTTCTTACTGATGAAAACTGAAGTCATGCATGGCTAAGAGCATTTCTAACCGATCCCCTATAACCGGTTAGAGGAGGATAAATTCCGTTTTCCTCCTCTATCCGGCACCTAGCCAAACCCGTACAACCTTTAGTGCAGGAAAATTTATCCTCCTCGGCCTCCACCCGGCTGAGTAGAAGTTTCGGCCCCCTCACCCACTCCTGCGCCATCCCCACCCCACGCTGCATCGTCGCCGGCATTGCTGCGGCGACTACTCACCGCCTCCGCCGACACCCCACTGCCTCCCTTCGCCCTCGCCACCACCCTGCCCCAGTCCGAGCCGGTCGCCGGCTGTTGCCGCCACTGGAACCAAGCTCAAAAGCCGCCGTCGCATCAATCTCGTCACTGGAAAGCGGCTCGGATCTTCTTCCTCATAGCCTCACCGTGCACTGCTGACCATCTCAACGCCACATCGATCGCTCGTATCGGCTCAACATCGCCGGGGGCCTGTGACACCTCCGCCGCCTGTTGAGTGTTGAGCAAGAGCATGATGCAAATAGGATACAAGGATTCCTTGCCGCGCAACACAGAATAGAGAACCGAGAAGTTCATACCCAGCTCCAAGATGATCTTGCTGAGCATCAGTGGCATCTCCATAGCACTTCGTAGTTGTGCTTTTATCATGCTCTTTACTTCATTTGAACCCTTCCGTGTGTTTGAATTTGAATAATTTGGTTTCTAAACTATGAATTTGTAATATTCGTGAATTGTGTGAACCTTAATTATTATGTTTGGATTTAATATGCCTGCAAATATGTAGTTGAAATGTACTACTGCCTCCGTTCACTTTTGTAAGTCGTTTCAGACAACTCAAAATGGGCTGTTTTGCACATTGTCTAAAATGTCTTCAAGGTCTTATAAAAGTGAACAGAGGGGGTATGTAAAATAGATCTGGAAAGATTTGGCAAAAACAAAAACAGTTTTGCTAAAGCACATCTAGATGTGCTCTAAGTATTGCAAATCTAAGTCCTATGTCATTGATTTTACGTTAAGATTCGTGCAAACGTATTCTTTTGTCTTTTTTCTTTTTCTTTCTAGTTTGATTGAGTCACTTACATGTGCAATAACTAGGGCACATCTATACAGACCACAAAAAAAATGTACTCCGATAAGTTTAGGGAATTGGTTAGAAACGACCATTTTTTATAGGAGCAAAAGTACTCTTCTAAAGGATACTTTTAAGTTTACTCTTCTAGATTTTAGGAGATCAGTTAGAAATGCTCTAACATACTTTCCCAAACCAATAGCTAAGTGCACCAAAGCCAGGTATTTCATTTAGTATGAGCTGACTGAAACAGAATCATGGTTTTATTCCATCCTATTGATTGGGCATGATTCAGTCATGATAAATGATGAACCAACAATACTAAGTGAGATGGTCCAAAGTATAATCAAAGAGGTTCAGAGTTGCAGTACCTCATGCATTGTTAGGGCAAAGACATGCATAACCAAAAGACGAGAACATGAGAACTTACTGCATCTTCAGCTGCAAGTGCTTTCTCTATTGGTTGGTTCGTGCCACACTCTATCATTATTCCACCAGAAGACTCAGTGGCATCAGCGGAATCCTTTTCAGGTTCATCCATCCTACGGAATTTGTATTTCGGAATTTGGCGAATGTCATCTTCAGATGCTCCTTCCTGATTTTGATAGTATGGCAAAGAAAGGTTAACTAATAGCAAGATTGGCATATGAGTGTTAACTGCTCACAGTTAAATCTGTAGGAGAATCAACAGTATGACACAGAACTGAATCCTAGCAAGCATCTATATATTGTATCGCCGTATTTCACATACTTGAAAGCCATACCTGATCAGAGACAGCATACAGAATTGCTATAATGCAAGGGAGGCAGCAACAAACGGCAATACCAATAATGCAAGCCAGAGCGACACAGAAAACAACAAAGAACACATCAAACGCCAGGAAGACTATGCAAAGCCTGCAAAGCAAGACATAGAAAAACTTGTTTATGATACCGAACAGAAGAAATAAGGACAGTTGAAAAGTGGGATATCACTTCAAACATATATGTACCAGTATAGTTGAGGTGCATCACGGATAACCTCTTCACCCCCAGCAGATATCCAGTAAAATCCAATTATCCACCATATGAAGGAGAACATTGTATTCGCAGACTCCAGATGCTTTGCCAAACTGCCAGAGTAAACCACAATGATATAATCAGGTACTGTACAACTGAACAAGACATAATGGACTGCTGACACATGAACACTCTTACATGGAATCACGTAATGAACAATTATGCAGGCACAGCATGAATTCACCAACCGATGCAACACTAATAATAACTAGCATGTTTCTTCGAACTGAAGAAACAGGGAGATGCACAAAACGTGTTACAAAACAAGGAAGAAAAACTTATGCAATGGTCTGTCTTTCCTTGTAGAATGGAGCATAGGCACTATACCAACCAAAGTTATCACTACCGTGGCTACGGGCTACTTGACAAAAATTCATTTAGGAATTAAACTGTCATAAACCGGTTTTGCTGAACTTTCTAGGTAGCTTGAAACAACCAGGGTTGTGCCTAAACAGCTTAGAAATGTCCACTACTTGTACTTGTCAAATCCCTCCAATTACCTGACGTAATCTGTGTCGCGACCACGAAGATGGTGCTCGCTGGCATCCCCGTCGCTAGACGAGGACGAGCCGTCGCTGCCCCTCTCCTCGTCGGCGGGTGCTGGGGCCCCGCCGCGCTGGCTTCGGCGCATCCGGTACTCGACGGCGACGCAGACCATGTGGACGATGCACTGCAGGGCGTAGCCGGCGACCCAGGTCCGGAGCGGCATGGGGGATTTCTCGTTGCGGCTGAGCACGAGCACGACGGCGGCGACGGTGATGAACGAGATGTTCCAGAGGAGATCGAGCGCCACGACGGGGCGGGAGTAGGCCCAGTCCGCCTGCCGCTCCTCGAGGTGCTCGGCCGCCGCCTCCCGCACGAGCATCGACGGCTCCCGCATCGCCCGCCGCCCGCTGCGGCGCAGCAGGCGCGCGGTGCCGCGCAGCGACGGCCGGCGGAGCGCGTTGCCCCGACGCTGGCCGCCGCTGCCGGCGCCGCCGCCGAGCAGCGGCGCCGAGTCAAGGAGCGCGTCGCCGCGGCTGCTGGACATCGAGGGAGGCCTGCGAGATCGAGAGAGGGGAAGAAGTCTATTTCCACGGGGGAAGGGAATTGGGATGGGTTGGAGACTGGAAGAGTCCTTTCTCGCTTTTCTCCCTTTTCCTCCCCCGGTTCTATGATGGGGAATGCGGGTTGGACCAGCTGTGGTTGATGATGTCACATTGCAGGCAGTTCGCTGCCGACGAAAAAAACTGGATAATGTATATCGCGTCGAGTAAATTTCAAAAAACCAATTTGTAATTTATTTTCACAGTGACAATGTGATTATTTTTGTGAACACAGTACAAATGTAAGCGCTCATGTATACACGCATACATTCACCCCTATGAACGCACACACGCACATCCTACTCCTATTAGCATCTCGGTAAAGACTGAGCCGACATATCATCTTGAGATTTACGAAGTTATCGTAGGCGTCTCGTCGTCGACGGAAACGTCTCCTTCACTGAAAGCGCATCGCCGGAAATTCTGAAATAAATCCAGAAATAATGCGAGCAACAGGACTTGAACTCTAGTAATTTTACAAGGTAAATCAACTTTACAGTGGCAATGCATAGTCGAGTATATCACTTAGAGTATTGCAATTTCACAAAAATCAACTTGTGATTTATTTTCACCTAGTTATTGTAAATTAACTTTATGGTGTTCACAGTGGCAATGTGTTTTTACAAGGTAAATCAAGAGTTGCTTGAATCCCCACTCTCCCCGCGTCGCCTTCCCTGGTGACTGGGGGGCGAAAAACTTAGAGCGCCACCCTTCCACCCAGCTCCTCCTTCATCGCGCCGTCCCTAGAGGCTCCGGCCGGCAAAGCTTGCCTAGATCCGGGAACGACAGCGGCGAGGGCAACTCTCTGGCTGGCGCGAGGTGGCAAGATGTGGTTCTCGTGCACGTGCGTGTGTGTGGCAGCGGTCAGGTGGTGCGCGACGGTGTGGGTCGCTGACGAGGGCGCCAGGCACGGGCTGGTGGGGCGTGGGGTGTTCGATCATCGGGTCTAGTGCAGTGGCATTGGTGGCGGAGGTTGCAAGTCAGCAAGGAGATGGTGAGCGGAAGGTGTGGTCAGCTGTGGGGGTGGTCTCTACTCCGGCTAGAAGCTGCGAGGGGCACATGTCTTGCTCTTCATGTTGACCCTCTTGTCAGTGGCGTGGAGCCCAGGGGATGGTGCATGGGGATATCTGTGGTGGTGCCAGTGCAACAGTCTGGATCGATCCCCCTTCGTCAGCATCAATGCTCAAGGTGAGCAACGGCGTCTGGGGGGCTCATTTTGGACCCAGTGGAGGGTCTCGCCGGGGAAGGTGAGGTCTTTCTGGCATGCAAGGTTATTGTTTGTAGGGTTTGTCAGTGTGCTCGTGACGACTTCCCTTTGTAGTTTGGTCCTCGATACGTCTCCAGCATGTCTATATTTTTTATTGTCCCATGCTATTATAGTATTAATCTTCGATGTTTTATATGCAATTATATATTATTTATTGGGACTAACCTATTAACTTAGTGCCAAGTGTCAGTTGTTGTTTTTGCCTATTTTTGGTTTTCCAGAATCAGTACCAAACAAAGACCAAATGCCATGAAACTTTTTTTTTCTGAACATAAAAGACACTAGAACCTACGGGAGGAGGCCAGAAGATGAATGAGTGGGCCACGAGCCACATGGGCGCGCACATGTGCCTCGTGGTCCCCTTGTTCCTCCGTTTGACCTAATTCCAACTATAAATTCTCTAAAATCGGGAAACCAACAAAGAGCCACCCAAAATACTTTTTCCGCTGCCGCAAACTTCTGTTCTCGCGAGATCCCAGCTGGAAGCCTTTTTCGGCACTCTGCCGAATGGGGAATCAATCACGGAGGGCCTCTACATCAACCTTGTTGCCCTTCCGATGATGTGTGAGTAGTTTACCACAAAACTATGGGTCCATAGCTAGTAGCCAGGTGGATTCTTCTCTCTCTTTGATCTTCATTACAATGTTCTTCTCGATGTTCTTGGAGATCTATTCAATGTAATCCTTTTTGTGGTGTGTTTGTTGGGATCTGATGAATTGTGGCTTTATGATCAGGTTATCTATGAATATTATTTGAGTCTTCTCTGAACTCTTTTATGCATGATTATTATAGTTTTGTATTTCTCTCCGATATATCCATTTGGTTTGGCCAACTAGATTGAATTATCTTGCAATGGGAGAGGTGATTCGTGATGGGTTCGATCTTATGGTGCTCAATCCTAGTGACAGAAGGGGACATGACACGTATTTGTATCATTGTCAATAAGGATAAAACGGCGGGGTTTATTCATATTGATTGAATTTACTTTGTCTACATCATGTCATCTTGTTTAAGGCATTACCCGTTCTTTATGAACTTAATGCTTTAGATGCATGTTGGATAGCGGTCGATGTGTGGAGTAATAGTAGTAGATGCAGGCAGGAGTCGGTCTACTTATCTCGGACATGATGCCTATATACATGATCATTGCGTTGGATATCGTCATAATTATTCGTTTTTTATGAATTACCCAATAGTAGTTTGTTTACCCACCATATGCTTTTTGTTCGAGAGAGGAGCCTCTAGTGAAAACTATGGCCCCGGGTCTATATTTATCATATATTAAAATCCAAAAATACCTTGCTGCAATTATTTATTTTTATTTTATTTTGTGTTTTTGTTTATCTATCCGTCACTACAAGATTTGATTCTTGTAAATAACCGCCAAGGGATTGACAACCCCTTGTTTGCGTTGGATGCAAGTATTTGTTATTTTGTGTGTAGGTGTTGTTCACGAGGTGTCACGTGGTTCTCCTAGTGGATTCATAAGATTGGTTCTTAACTGAGGGAAATACTTATCTCTATTGTATTGCATCATCCTCCCTCTTCGGGGAAATCCCAACGCAGCTCACAAGTAGCAGGAAGAATTTTTGGCGCCGTTGCCAGGGAAACATCACCAACACCTATCAAGTACCATCGCATAAACTTCCATCTCCTTGCATTTACTTTTATTTTCTAGTTGCCTCTCATTTTCATCTCCCCCACTTCTAAAACGTTTTCACAAAAATATTTGCAGTTGCCTTTTTGCTTGTTTATTTGTTTGCTTGCTTGAAGTTGCTACCATGTCCAAGTTTGTTATTGAGAAAAAGGATGGTAACATCCCTAGAGTTGAAATTCCCCAAAATTTGGATTTTAAATTTTTTGTTGTGGGACATGGGAACATTATAGGTAAAAGTGTTATCCAAGAATTCTTTAATTGCACGGGGTCGTTAGCTTTTAATGATATTCCTATCCTAAAAAGAACTAAGAGTTTTGCCAAAGCTATTTCAACGCTTGTTCTTAAACTTGGAAGAAAATTTATGCGTACTCACCCCACTTTCCAAAGGTTGTTCTACGAGTTACCTATTATCAACAACCCTATGGCTAAGAAGATACCTACTCTCATCCTTATGAATGAATTTGATTATATAGTATACGAGGCTAGAGAGATCTTTGATTTTTAAAATATGAGTCGTGAGCACCCGGTCATAGATGAGATTTTGTATAGAGAGGATTATCTATTGAGGCATTTGTTTCGTGATAATCACACCTTTGATGGAAACACTGGAAAGAAAGTTCCTCCTATACATATGATCCAACAAATCTTAAATGGTATTAATCAACAATATTATTGGATAGTAAAGGGAAACCAACAAGGGTTTGAGGAAGATTGCTTCGATAACGCTAAAATCTTGGTTAATGATGTGTTCCCCATTATTTTTGAAAAGACTCCCGATGAACCCGTGACCAATGATGCAAAAACTATTGGGGAAAGTTGCATGGACAACAAAAAAAGATCCATGCACACAGAAGATCTATCCATGGAGATGTATAGATACAAGGGGGGATATCATCTTCATACCATTGTAGATCGCTAAGCGGAAGCATTTATCAACGCGATTGATGTATTCGTACACCTTGATGATCTATCCCGATCAAGTACAAAACTTACGGCACCTCCGCATTCTGCAC